GAGCACTGTGTAAAAACAGGTTTCGTGGGTTGTTTTCTGTTTGTTATGTTTTGGGGTGACGCCTGACAGTGATCTGGGGTATTCCTGGCTCTGTGGAGGGCCAGAGGACCGTATGCAATGCCCGAGATAGAATCAGGACCTGCCTAACCTTCTGTACTATCTCTCTGGCCCAAAAAAGTTCTGGAGGGTCTTTTTTGTTTAAGTTTTTGGGCCACACCCAGTGGTGCTCAGGAATTATTCCTGTTTCTCAGGGATCACTCTTGGCAGGGCTTGGGACACAGTATAGAGTACTGGTGATGAACCCACACTGGCCATGTGCAAGGCAAGCACCTTACCACTGGACCACTGCTGCAGTCCCTGAATTATTTTGGTAGTTTTTTCCCCTTCCTTTTTGTTGTGATGTCCAGTGGCAAGACCCACTTGGTTGTGGCACTGGGGATCTCAACCGGTAGAGGCACTGGAATAATACTTGGGCATGCAGGGTGATGCTAGGGATTGAACCTGTGACTCTTGAGTCGCTACTTCTGAGCTACTCCATGGCCCCCCAGAACAACTGTAAAGTACTCCTTCTACTGTTCCTGACTTCCTGTCATCATAGCAGCTCTAATAAGGAAGGAACCACTGCACTGGGAGTACATATGGAGGGCCAAGAGGGGACTTATTAATACATATTCCAGTACAGTAAATCTTACTCAAGCAGATTCAGTCCTCAAACTAAAGGGTGTTTTCAGAGGGCCTCCCAAGAGGCGCTCAAAGGGCCCAAAGGGCCACTCCCTGCAATTCTCAGCCAACCAGGCAAAGAATCTGGCAGTTCCACACAGGGCCCAAGGCTTCAGTGCTTAATCTCTTGGACTATTTCTCTGGCTCCTCTACTGGCTTCTTTTGTTTTTGAGCCACACCCAGTGGTGCACAGGGCTTACTCCTGGCTCTGTGCTCAGGGATCACTCCTGTTGGTGCTCAATGGACCGTATATGGTCCAAACCTGGGTTGGCTGCATGCAAGGCAAACACCCCACCCACTGTACTATAGCACTGGCCTCTTCTATCAACTTTTTTGACAAAAAAATAATTAAAAGATACGGCAGATTAAAAATGCAACGTAGTTTGTTAATTTTCATTTAAAGGCAAAGATCTTGTCAAGTATGAACCTATTACTGATTTGCAAGGTGTCTTTCGGTTACATACCATATCCATCATGCAATTCAGGTGTTTTCTAGTTAAACTTTCTATTAAGAAATACAAAACGGGGCTGGAGCGATAGCAGAGCGGGTAGGGCGTTTGCCTTGCACGCAGCCAACATGGCCGACCCAGGTTCGATTCCCAGCATCCCATATGGTCCCCCGAGCACCGCCAGGAGTAATTCCTGAGTGCATGAGCCAGGAGTAACCCCTAAGCATCGCCGGGTGTGACCCAAAAAGAAAAAAAAAAAGAAAGAAATATAAAACATAGGCTGAAGAGACAGTACAACAGGTAGGGAGTCTGCCTTGCATGTGGCTGACCTGGGTTCAATGGATCTTGGACACCACATATGGACCCCAAGACCTGCCAGGAGTGATTTCTGAACACACAGCCAGGAGTATGTCCTGGAAACAAAACAAAACAAAACAAAACCAAAAAAATCCACAAAACAAAAAATACAAAAACCTGTGTCGGGAAAAAAAAAAAAAAGCTTGTTCAAAAAGCTAGTGCAGGGGCTGGAGCGATAGCACAGCGGGTAGGGCGTTTGCCTTGCACGCAGCCAACATGGCCGACACAGGTTCAATTCCCAGCACCCCATATGGTCCCCTGAGCACTGCCAGGAGCAATTCCTGAATGCATGAGCCAGGAATAACCTCTGAGCATCGCCGGGTGTGACCCAAAAAGAAAAAAAAAAAAAGCTAGTGCACATGTTTTGCATGTAGGAGCCTAGATTCCATCTTCAGCACCATATGGTCACTGCACACTGCAGGGAGCACCCCCCGCCCCAGCAGCCGGCCCAGTGTGGCCTGTGAGCACCACTGAGTGAGGAGCACTCACAAAAGAGAGAAGAGAAAATGAAAACACTTGAAAACATTCATGAAGTAATCTGTGTGCAAAACCCTTGGAGACGTAACTATTAATTCTCTCCTCAGTCTTTTTCATTTTGTTTGACTATGCATAATTAATTCGATAATTCAAAAATAAATTTAAATGCATACAAAACCATTCTTTGGGGGCTTCAATTTCTCTAATTTATGTCATATTTACATAAATATGAACTTAAACAGATACAGGAATAAATTCAACTGACTGTAAATAGTCTGGGGGGAGAACACCCTGGTTAGTGAGTAATACACATCTGTGTAGCTAAAGTGGAGGAGGAATAAAAGACTGTATAGCAGGTTCAAGGCACCAAATAAATGTTACAGCAATGCCCCAAACTGAAAAATTGGAACTTACCAAAACGTCAGTGACAATTAGTAAAATTTGTAAGTGAGGGGATTTTCCAGCTGGTGGTTTCTGTTTAGCAACTGAAAAAGCAGTCGAAGGTTTGGAGAAAAGGAAACTTCTTTTCATTAGTTCCTGGTCTGTTTTAAGCTGCCTACTTGTCTCTTCCATAACCTATCACAGAACCTGATACTCAGTGAGTGCTCAATAAACTTGCTGAATATGGCCACACATTCTAACCTGGATGCTATTTCAGCTGCTATCGCTGCTGGCCTATAAATAAAACTTTCTGGGATTTAAAAAGCAGTGTTATACGGCTTGTTTCATGGTCTTTTAGCTGCTAATATAGTTCATCTTTTTATATTTATATGTACGTCGTCTGACAGCTAATTAAATTTAAAAGTCAGGACCCAATTTATACTTACATCACCATAACAGTAATGCTAATAGGATTCTATAAGCTATTTTAACTTGGTGAAAGCCATTAGTAACAAAAAAAAAAAAGTTTTCAAACTCATGTCCTATTGAGTTTGAATTTCACATTCTCACAATGTGTGGCAAGTTAATACTTCCAGATTCTGGCACTTCTATTGAGAACATAAAAGTTCTCCTGGAACCAACAAATTACTTCCCTTCCAACACAATTATATAATCTGAAAGTTGAACAGCACCCTTGAGATTATATTGTGGTGCAAAAATCCCTTTCAATTACAAGATCCTATCAAAAATTACTCAACTCTTACAGGCAAGAAGGGATGTTTATTTTTAAATTACATGTTACAGCGTACTGTACCCACAGGAGGACCATACCTAATACATGTTACGCTGAACTGACTGAGATTAAAACGGGCCCATTTCGTTCATTTCTAGTCCTTCCTAGCCTTCAGTGGTAACATCCACTGAATCGGTAATTAACCGATTTGCATTCCTCGTCTGCTCATTAGCCGATGCTCAAAAAGAAATTCAGAAAAAGAGCCTCTATGGTCAGTCGAATGCTTTGAACACAAACACTGCTAATGTGAGAACATAATAAAACCCGCACAGAACACGGAAAAATGAGGTTCTTCCTTAGTTCGCTTCTGAGCTACAGAGTTGCCCGTTCCATTCAAAATACTCCACTCAAAAGACACTTCTAGGGGCTGGAGTGATAGCACGGTGCGTTTGCCTTGCGCATGGCCAACCCGGGTTCGATTCCCAGCATCCCATATGGTTCTGCGAGCACCGCCAGGAGTAATTCCTGAGTGCAGAGCCAGGAGTAATCCCTGTGCATCGCCGGGTGTGACCCAAAAAAGCAAAAAAAAAAAAAAAATTCTAATATGATTCTTTTTTCAAGTTTGACATCATTCATACAGACTAAATTACACCCCCTCCTCCTTAATACTCAGGATGCTCGCAGGGCTTTAGACCAGGGTACGGTAAGAAGGCATGTAATTATGTTAATTGGTCTTCCCCACAGTTAACAGCCTGCGATCCCGTCCGACCTCCCCCCATAGCGCGATATGATGAGGAGGAAGAACAAAGCCTCGGGAGCAGCAGAGCCCGAGTCCACCCCGGCGCGGGCACCCAGCCGGTCCTCCCAGGCTACGCCGCACTGGGGGGGGGGGGGCCTCGGACCATCGCCGCTGGGGCACCCACTACCCCCCCCACCCCGCGCGCCCCCTCCCCCCCGTGCCTCCGCCGCACAATAGACGCTGAACCCCGAGTGTGTGGACGCACTGGATTCCCGATCGCCCCCAGGGCCTCCCTGGACAGCGTCAGAGCCCCCGGTCGCCCCGGGTCCCGGCTCTTTCATCACCGCGGCCTCTCTCCAGACCTAACGGCCCGGGCGGGCTCGGGGGGAAGGGGCTGGGGGGCCCCCGCGTCGCCACCGCCGCCCGGCCGGCCGCCCGGATTGGATTTCGGCGTCGCTCATTGTTCCCGGGTCCAACTGCCATTTTACCAGCCGGCGGCGGCCGGGCAGCCCGCGCCTTCCCACCGGCGCCTCGTCCGAGCGTGTCCCCGAGGCGCGGCGGCTCTTTGTGGACTCGACAGAAAAAAAAAAAAAAAACGCGCCGCCGCGGAATTCCCTGTGTCACCCCAGAAACGGCGTGTGGGGGGGGAGGGGGGAAGCAGAGATTTTTTTTTTTACCTTTAAGCAGTCTATGCAAAAAAAAAAAAAAAAGAAAGACGAAGAAACCTCTGGAAGTTTTTTTTTTTTTATCCTGCTAACCCATTTCATACTTCAGAGGCTTCCCTCAAGACCGAGGGGGCAAAAATAAATAATTAAAATCTGAAATAATGCTTCTCGGCCTAGTCGATGAAAAAAAATTTAAGATCGTCGGGGGTCCCCCCACCCCCCGAGAGCATCTCGGCCCCGCGCCCTTCCTCGGTTCGGTCCGGCCCGGCCCGGCCCGGCCACAAAGGGCCGCGCGCGCACGTGCGGCTGACACGCGCCGGCCGGGCGGCCTGACAGGCGCCGCCGCCGCCGCGGCCCGCGTGCCCCCCTCAACCCGGTGCCGACCCGACCCGCCCGGCCCGGCCCGGCCCGGCCCGGCACACCCACCCTCCCTCCCGCGGCCGCGCCCCCCGCGCCGCCCGCCGCCCCCCGCGCCTCACCTCCTCCTCGCTCTCGCTGCGGAAGCACAGGCACGCGGCCCGCTTCTTGTAGCCGTCGCCGTCGTAGGTGCGGGTCTGGTTCGACTTGAGCTTCATCATGGTCCGGGCGCGGCCGGGGGGCGCGGTGCGGGTCGCCGGCGAGAGGGCTGCGTGGGGGCCGCGCGCGCGCCGCCGCCGCCGCCGCCGCCGCCGCCGAGGGGAGCCGGGACGCGGGCCGCCGCTCGTCTCCGCTACACGGCGCCGCCGCTGGGCCGCCGCGGCCGCCTCATGCCCCGCTCAGGCTCCGCGCCGCCGCCGCCGCCAACCGGGCCGCCGCCGTCCCCGTCCCCGCCGCCGCCGCGGCCGCCGCCCCCTCCGCCGCCGCCACCCCCGACGACGGCTGCGTCGCCATCTTGGGCGCGCTGCGTCAGCGGCGTAAGGGCCGCGCGGGGCTGCGGGGCGGCCGCGCGCTCGCGGCGCAGGCGGCGTTCGGGAATCGCGCCCTCCCCGGCCGCGCGGCGTAAACGAGCGTCGGCCGGCGGGGAGAGGGTCGCGCGGCCCGCGGCGGCGGCGGCGGCGGCCGCTACGCCAGCAGCGTAGGGCTGGGCGCGGGCGGGGCGAGGGCCGAGCCGCCGTCGCCGCGGCGCGCGGCCGCACCGAGGGGGCGCGCCGGGCGCTCGCCCAAGGTCACGCCGCGGCCGCCGCCGGTGCGCGGCCCGCGTGGGGGCAGGTCGGGCCGCCCGGACCTTGCTTGGCCGCCGCGCCCGGCTCGCTGGGATGAGCGAGGGTGCAGGCTGGAGGGAAAAGGGGGACGCGATTCGGTGCCACGGAGGGTGGGGGGGACAGGAGGGGGCACAGCTAAATGTCTCGGGGGGTGGTGGGTGCCCGTTGAGGGGCCTGGGGTCTAGGCTCTGGCTCGGAGACGCAGCGGGAAGGGGAGTCCGTTAGAAAAAAACGTGTTATTCCGCAACCCATCCTTGATGGCAGAGAGCAAATGCTCCCTCTTAAGGTAAACAGAGAGCAAGACAGCACGGCCCAAAGGGTGTGTGTACATAAAAGGCAAGTGGGGCTTCAGGGGCCCGGAGCCCCGGTAGGGTCCTTTGGGCACTGCTAGGAGTGATCCCTGAGTATTGCTGGGTGTAGTAATAATAGCAGTAAGGGGTTGGGGTTAGGGCATCATCATTTCTGGTAGCGCTGTCTGTAGCACTGTCCTCGAGAGCACTGTCGCTCGAGCGGGCACCAGTAACATCTCACAACAGACTGTGAAACTTGTTACTGTTTTTGGCATATTGAATAGTCATGGGGAGCTTGCCAGGCTTTGCCCTGCGGGCAAGATACTCTCGGTAGCTTGCTGGGCTCTCCGAGAGGGGCGGAGGAATTGGACCCAGGCGGGCCATGTGCAAGGCAAAAGCCTTACCCGCTGTGTTATTGCTCCAGCCCCATTTCTGGTAATAAGTGACATATTATGAATATTTGATATATTGAATATAGTTTGAATATCAATATGCAGTATATTGATATTCAAACTATATTCAATAAGTGTTATATTATGAATATATAATATAATATTGAATATAGATTGATACACAGTTTGAATATCAAACAATCTCCAGGTAAAGGTGAGCATCCAGATGCAATCAGTGGAGTGTGGCCTGTGAATGCCAGGCCGATCACTCTAAACTTGGTGAAAATCCTGTGCAGGGCTTGTCTGTGAATCGCTTTTACCTATTTCCATTCACTTGTATTGAGCCGTCAGGAATGATCGGTATTGGAAACCAAACAAAGGCAAGATGGAATCTCAATGGCGGCTGTGAAATACGAACAATAAAACTACCTGACACCTGAGACTCAGAAACTGAACATGTTGAACTAATACTGATACTCTGCTCAGCCTTTGCCAGGTTGAGGTGTGGCATATTAGTTCATATTGGTCACTCATTCTCCTCAAGAATTTCCCAAATCAGGCTTAAAACAATACAGCAGGTAGAGCATTTTTCTTGCATGAGGCTGACCCGAATTCAATCCCCAGCATTCCATATGGGCCCCGACCCTGTCAGAAGTGATCCCTGAGCACAGGGCCAAGAGTAACCCCTGGTCCAAAATTAAAAAAAGAAATTAAAATGGAGAGTCAGTCCAGGGGTTCAGGTACTTGCCTTGCACACTGCCAATCTAGTTCAATTTCCAGCATCATCAGGAGTGACTCCTGAGCACAGAACCAGGACTAAGACACTGCAAAGTTTGTTCCCCAAAGCAAAAGTAAATATTACCTAAATCTTTATTATTACTACTATTACTTGGGGGAGTTTGGACCACACCCGGCGATGCTCAGGGCATACTCCAGGCTCTGTCCTGAGTGGTCCCTGGTGGTGTATGAGGAACCATAAGGTAAAGGTAAAGGCCCTCCCGTTGATCGTCGATTTGCTCGAGCGGGCCCAGTAACGTCTCCATTGGAGACTTTGTTGTTACTGTGTCTGGCATATCAAATACTCTCGGTAGCTTGCCGGGCTCTCCGAGAGGGGCGGAGGAATCGAACTCGGGTCGGCCATGTTGGCCGCTTGTAAGGCGATCGCCCTACCTGCTGTGCTATGCAAATATCAAGTCAGGGTTGGTGAGTGCAAAGCAAAAAAAAAAAAAAGGCAGCTAGACTCTTAAAACATTTTCAAATCAGTATCATATCAGACAGAGTTAGTGTCCAGAATAAAAAGTTCTCAGAACACAGTGATCAAAAAAACAAACAAAATGGGCAAAAAGTTCTTATTGATAGCAACTAGATGGTTTGGGCAGCTTTAGGGTGAGGGTGGGGAGTTGGAGTCACATCCAGCAGTACTCTGGGTCTATTTTCAGTTTGCTTGGGGGTTGCTCCAAGCCATGCTTAGGGCACCCTGTGGTATCTGGGATCAAACCCTGGCCTCTTGCATGAAAACCTGTATGTCAGCACCTTAGACACCTCTCTCCCCGTTTGTAGCATTTGTTTTTGTTATGGGATCACCTCTGACGATGCTCAGGGATTATTCCTGGCTTTGCATTCAGGAATTACTCCTGGTGGTGCTCATGGGACCAAATGGGATGCAGGGAACTGAACCAGAATTGGCAGCATACGAGGCAAATGCCCTACTCACTGTACTATCTCTCCAGCTCTTGTCTGTAGCATTTTTACAAAGTAAATTTCATCCAGTCACTAACATCAAATTTCAAAGTTTCTGTATGGCAAAAAACCTGGACTAAAATTAAAAAGGCACCCTTTTGAATGGGGGAAAATGTTTGCACATAATAAATTAGATAAAGGGTTACTATCCAAAATCTATAATGCACTCATACAAAGATCAACAGCAAAGAATCCAATCACCCCATCAAAAAATGGGGAGAGGAAATGAACAGGCTCTTCCCTGGAGAAACCAGAATGGATGGCCAGTAGGCATATGAAAAGTTCTCATCCTCACTTATTAGGAAATTCAAATCAAGATGATCATAAGATGTCACTCACACCAGTGAGAATGGAGTGTATCAAATAAAGCAGACACAACCTGTGTTGGGGGTTATGTGGCAAAAAAAAAAAATTTTTATCTCCTGCTGGTGGGAATGTTTTCTGGTTCATCCCCTATGGAAAAGAGTATGAAAGTTTCTCAAAAAAGTAACACTAGCCGTACCAAAGACTTAGCAATTCCACTTCTTGGCATCTACACACAAGAAACACAAAAAACTCACTTGAAAGGATAAATGAACACCGTGATTCATGGCAGCACTCACCCCAGGTGTTCAGTGGCAGGTGAGTGGCTGAAGAAGGGATGGCATGTACATCCCATGCTGTGCCGAGACACGGAATGATGAAACCATGCAACTCATTACACCTTGGCTGGAACTGGCTGGAGATACCATGTTAAGTGAACTCAGGAGGACAAACTTTGGATGTTCTCACTCATTCGTGCTATCTAGAATAACTTGATGGGGTGGAGGATAGCAAAGGAGGGCAAACCCTTGGCCCTAGAATACAGAGTTGGAGAGGCCAGGAAAGGTGCAGAGTGGAGTGAGAAGTAAGAGGCAGTGGTCTGGGGGGTAAGGCAGTGGCAAGGATCAGGGTCCTAGGGCCCTATATTAATGGTTTAGAGCTGAGGTGCTCATATTGATCTAAACCACAGAGCCACAGCCGTTAACAACATGTTAGTGATCTCCTATAGAAGGGCTTAATGTCCCCACAGTGAAATACAATAATCTTCACACTCTTTCCTCTAGGAAACTTTTTTTATAGCATCTCCAGCATTTTTTCATAACAAACAATATAAAATATGTTATTTCAGTGCTGCTTTGGGGCAGGGGTTGGGATTCAGAATGGAAACATCCAAAATATGGTGGTGGGAAGGTGTAGTGGTGGTGGGATTGGTGTTTGAATATTAAATGTAATCAAATATTGTGAACTACTTTATAAAATAAAAAATAAAACACTCAGAAGAATAAATAAACCACAGAGCCAACACGACTGTAAGCAGGGGACCCAAAGTTAAGAATTGGGGGTATGGTGCCACCAGCAGGTGAACCTGTACCTGTAGGGCGAGTGTGTCAGCAGCCTGATGGTGCCTTCAGACTTCCTGATACTCCTCAATTTTGCTGCCGTGCCTTTGGCCAGACCCCAACAACCTGGTGCCAAGTTTACCAAAAAATTAAATGGCCAAAAGTTAAGTATGTGGGAGCCACACCCACAAACCACCTCCGGCTCAGCTATACAAGCTCATTTATTGGCCTTATTTCAGTCTCACCTCCTTCCCCCACCCCACTGAAAATCTTTAAAAAAGAAAGAAAGAAAAAAGCAGGGCCAGAGCAATAGTACAGCAGGTACTATTGCTTGCTTTGTACACAGCTGACCTAGGGTTCAATTCCTGACACCACATATGGCCTCCTTACCCCTATAGTAGTGATCCCTCAACACAAAACCAAGAGTAAACCCTGAGCACCATGGGGTGTGGCCCTCGTTAAGAAAAAAATTGTTTTAAGAGCCAGAGTGATAGTACAGTGGGTAGAGTGCTTGCCTTACATGCAGCTGGCCAGGGTTCGATCCCTAGCACCCCATATGGTCCTCCAAACCCTGCCAAAAGTGATCTCTGATCACAGAGCCAAGAGTAAGCCCTGGGCACCATTGGATGTGAGCAAAAATAAATAAAATTTAGAAATTGTTTTTATTAAAAAAAAATAGGGACTGGAGCAATAGCACAGCGGGTAGGGTGTTTGCCTTGCACACGACCCACCCAGGTTCGATTCCCAGCATCCCATATGGTCCCCCGACCCCGAGCACCGCCAGGAGTAATTCCTGAGTGAAGAGCCAGGAGTAACCCCTGTGCATCGCCGGGTGTGACCC